TGCCTATTCCCTTTGCTAAGTACAACTGAAAACCTTGGACATTATATATAAAAGAAATGTAAGATTTTGATACTTGGGGAGAAGAAGGAAGACATATTTGGCAACTTGGAATCCAAGAAAGAGCACAGATATGAGGCCCCTAGGTTTTCTTTTTGTCTCCTACCTCCCAGATTTGGAGGCAAAGAAACTGAAAACTCAGAAACACTAGCAAAAAAGCTGAAATGAAATCCTGTTCTCTCTCTCCAAAGGACCAGGAAAGGGGCATACTAGCTGTATCAGAAAGCTTTTAGGCAACAACTACTCTACTCTAGCCAAACACCACAGAAAGAAACCATGGCCCAACTTCACCCATGGAAAGGAATGAGAAGTGTGGGCTTCTACCCTCACAAGACTAAAACAAGGTGCCCCAACCTCCCTGGCATCTGGTGTCACAGAAGGTGGGGTATGGAGCTGGGACTTTCATCCCCACTTGGGTAAAGAGAACAAGGTAGGACTGCATTGAAACCCCTAGTCTGACACTTGTAGCCTGAGGCAGTTTAGCCTGAGTCTCTGCCCATCTGTAAAATGAGTAATTATTTCTACTTTGCACTGATGATTTTTAAGATTAGGATACATATGTGAACAAGGAGTACCAACCAACAAACAAACAAAAGAAATAAATAAAGAAAAAGAAAGGCAGAAGGACAGAAAGAAAGAAAACTACAAACCGATGTGTTTCTCAGGAATATAGAAGCAAAAATCCTTAGCAAAGTAGAGCAAATAGTTTTCAACAATTCAACAATACATAAATTAATTATACAGCATAACTATACAGGGCTTATTCCAGGGATTCAAGGCTTATTCAATATAGAAAATCAAACAGTATAATATATATTAATAGGCTACAGAAGAAAAATCACATGACCCTATTAATGAATATAGAAAAAGCATTTGAAAAATTATTAAGAGAAAATATTTGGGACCTATGGCTAGACAGAGAATTTAGAGTTGTCACAAAAAGCACAATCTATAAAAGGGAAAATTGATAAATTAGATTTTAAAGTTAAAACAATTGCTCCAAAAGAGATCTTATTGAGAGGACCAAAGTGCAAGCTGCAGATTGGGAGAAATTATTTTTAACTCATGCAGAGAGAAAGAAAGAGAAAAGTTAGATGATATATAGATATAGGTTAGCTGATAGAATATATAATGAACTGTCAACATTCAACAATGAAAGTACGTAATTAAAATGGACAAAGACAAAGATACATTTTACTGAAGAGGATATATGGATAGTAAATAAGTGCGCGAAAAGATGTCAATATTATTATCCATTTTATGGAAATTAAAATTAAAGCCACAATGAGATATCCATATACACCTATCAGAATGGCTAGAGCTATTTTAGTGACAAAACCAAATGCTAGAGAATATAACAGAAATGAGATCATTCCTACGCTCCTGGTGAGAATGTAAAATGGTTCAACCACCTAGAAAACAGTTCAGCAGTTTCTCAAAAACAACAACAAATGTTAACTAAAATGCCCAATTTTAGTTCATATGACCCAGCAATTATACCACTGAGCATTTATTCCAGACAAATGAAAATTTATATTTACATAAAAACCGATAAGCAAATGTTTATAGCAGCTTTACAGTGCAACATTAGGGATCATTGTGTGATGGAAATCTTCTGTATCTATACTGTATCAATGTCAATATGCTCTTTGTGTTATTGAACTACAGTTCTGTAAGATTTCACTATTAGGGAAAATTGAGTAAAGGGAACATGGATCTCCCTGTATCACTACTGACAACTGCACATGAATTTATAGTTATCTAAAAATAAAAACCCAAACAGGAGAATTTCTGTATAGATGAAGCAGCCTTATATTGGAAAAAGATGCCATCTAGGATTTCATAGCTAGAGAGGAGAAATCAATGCCTAGCTTCAAAATATCAAAGGACAGTCTGACTCTTTTGTTAGGGGCTAGCACAGCTGGTGACTTAAAGTTGAAGCCAGTGCTCATTGATCATTCTGAAAATCCAAGGATCCATAAGAATTATGCTAAATCTACTCATCTGTGCTCTCTAAATGGAACAACAAAGCCTGGATGACAGCACATAGTGTTTTTAACAAACGGTGCAGGAAATATTGGATATCTATATGCAAAAAAATGAATAGAACTTTAGTACTTGTGATGGTGAATTTTATGTGTCAAATTGACTGGATCGTGGGGCTAAACATTATTTCTGGGTGTGTCTGTGAGGGTGTTTTTGGATGAAATTAGCATTTGAATTTGTAGACTGAATGGATCTACTGCAAAATAGATAGGCATCATCCAGTCCACTAGAGGTCTGGATGGAACATAAAGACAGATGGGAACATTCACTCTCTAAGTATGACTTCTGAGCTAGGATATTGGTGTTCTCCTGCCCTTAGATGGCACTTAAACCATCTGTGCTCCTAGTTTGCAGGCCTTTGGATTGAAACTGGAATTATGCTATAGGCTTTCCTGGCCCTTCTGCTTGCAGGGGGCAAATGGAAGGGACTTTTCAGCCTCCAGAACTGTGTACGACAAATCATATATATCCTATTTGTTTTGTTTCTCTGGAGAGCCTCGACTCGTACACCATACAAACTAACTCAAAATAGATCATACACCTGAATGTTAAATCAATACCATAAAACTTCTAAAAGAAAACATCATAGAAAAACTTTGCTACCTTCAATTAGACAAAGATTTTTTAGACATGATACCCAAAGCACAATTTATAAAAGAACAAATTGATAAATTTGTTTGCTAATTAAAAACTTCTAATTTTCAAAAGACAGTGAATATGTAAAGAACTCTTAATACTAGGTAGTATGAAAACAATCAATCCAATACAAAATGAGAAGATTCAGTAGCTCTTATCCAAACAAGATATATGGACAGGAAATAAGCACATTAAAAGATGCTCAGTGTCTTTAATCATTTTGGAAAAGCAAATCAAAACTTTAATGAGGGGCGCCTGGATGGCTCAGTTGGTTAAGTGTCGAACTCTTGATTTCAGCTCAGGTCGTAACCTCATGGTTGGTGAGTTTAAGCCTCACTTGCGTTCTGCTCTCTGACAGTGTGAAGCGCGCTTGGGATTCTCTTTTTCCCTCTCTCTCTGAATCTCCCCTCTTCACTATCTCTCTGTCTCAAAATAAATTTAAAAAAACATTAAAAAACTTTAAAAAAAATAAAAAAAAAACGTGATGAGATATCACTACAGACCTATTAGGAAGGCTAAAATTAAACAGACGGACCATACCAAATATTGGCAAAAATGTGGGGAAACTTTAATTTTTGAGTTCAGTTTATTGCCATTGGGAATGTAAGATAGTACTACTTTGAGACACAATTTGATCATTTCTTAACAAGTTAATCTTACACCTACCGTATTATCCAGCCATTTTACTCCTAGGTGTTTACTGAAGGGAAGTGAAAATATATGCCTATACAAAGATTTGTACATGATGTTTATAGTAGCTTAATTTTAGTAGCACAAAATTGGAAACAGTCTAAATGTGTAGCAATAGGTGAATGGTTTATTTAACAAATGCTGTATATACATACAATTGAATATATTCAGTAAGGAAAATAAAGGAAAATTGATACACACAGCAACATGGATGAATTTCAAATTGGGCTATTTTGTTTCAGAGTTTTAAAACTAGTTAGCATCATGGATGCTGGCAATTCACTTTCTCAAGCATATGTTAGAGAAGGTAACTTTCACAGATATGTTTCCTGTTTATATTATACTCACATATTCAATTCTATCCCAACCCACCTCACAAATGCTCTTGTCATGACAATTTGCATCCCATAATAATTAAACTTGGTAACTAATGGGAAGATAAGGATGTTTTTGATTTTTTTAAATCTTCTTGGAAATTCTTAATATTTTATGAAAACACAGAGTTGTGTTTCAGATGCCACAAATCAACTTTTCAGACACTCAGAATAACATTTGAAGTCTCTATAGGCCCTTCTTATTCAACACCTAGTATCCATTAACTAAAATTATGTTATTCTATGTAAGTAATAATATACTGAATAAATGTTACTGAATATAAAGGGAAACAGAGATGGCAAACTTAATTAGAAATTAATTAATTAATTAGTTTATTTATTTATTTTTTATGTTTATTTATTTTTGAGAGAGAGAGAGAGCGAGCACCAGCTGGGGAGGGGCAGAGAGAGATAGACACAGAATCTAAAGCAGACTCTGGGCTCTGAGCTGTCAGCACAGAGGGTAAACTTAAGTAGCAATTTTAAAAAGTCCAAATTTTCTTTGGCACCTTTCTCCCCAATATACAGAGATAAAACTAAATTTTAGTTTGTTATTACTTTATTCTCTTATACCTCCTCATGAATGACTACTATGATTTGTTTCATATATTTGCAAAATGTTTTCCTCACATGTGCCACTTTGGCTAAATAGCAAGGCAAGCAGAGGCCTATAAAAAACTTGTATTTTATTTCCATTTCTTTCTCCCCTCTCATCTTCCAGATATTCTTCTTTTTCTTTCTCTTTTTAAATTTTGTTTTGTTTTGTTTTAAAACAAAGATGATTTGTTCTATATCTTCATGAAGCTCTCCTATGGAATTGAAGAAATTTTTGGTGTCATAGTGGAGCAAAGGTTTGGATTGAGAAAGGTGGTCTGTTCCTTACCTTAATTGGAAGATTAATTTCTTTCATGCTTCCTCCCTAGAATTTTGATGTAGACAATTGATATTCGGTCATTCTCATGATAAATGTAGTGGTTATATGCATACACACTGATGGGGTCTCTGCAATATGGAAGAAGGTGACAGTAGGGTGGGTCATGGTGACTGACTGGGTGGGCAGACAGAGTTATCTGCCACAGATCTCTTTCAATCCCACTTCTTCAGAAATAGCATTACTTAGGAAGAGTCATATTAAAATGGTAAGTTTTGACACAGCCTTCTGTTTTGTTTCTTCCTTGAATTTGGTGTGCTTTTTAGCTGCTGCGGGAATGGTGTGCAACCATCTGTGTTCAAGTGATGGCTGCTGGGGACCTGGCCCAGACCAATGCCTGTCCTGCCGTCGCTTCAGCAGAGGAAGGAGCTGCATAGAGTCTTGTAACCTCTATGATGGGTAAGGCATCTTACAATGCTGCCTTTACCTCATAAGTTTGACTATTCAGTGTTTCAGATTTTCAAATGATAAGAAAATGGTAAAACTGCAGAATGTGTGTGCTGGCCAAGATTTTTCAGGGGAGTTCTTGTTGCATAAAGGTGACAACAATAGAATTGTTTTAAGGGAAAGACTTTTATCTGAAATAAGTCCAAATATGTATCAACTATTATACACACTTTAAAAAAGTGTACCAAAATAGATCATTCTTAGTAAATTATAGCAGTTTGTACTTAAGCAAAATTGAAAAATATATTCTTATTTTCCTTATGAAGGAGATTATTACAAGTAATCTTTCAGATGTTCCAATAATCTTTTTTTTCACATGCTTTCCTATTAATTTTCATCTGGAATACTATATACCTTTTGATTTTTTTCCATCCAAGTTCTGTGTCTATTTGTGTATTAGTAACAATACATGTTTCTGCGTCTCTGACAACTGCTTAACCCTATAGAAAAATTGTCTTTGTAGTTTCTATTTGAAGAAGTTTTTGGAAGTGTTCTCCCACTTTCTAAAGATAACCTAAGCAGTATTTTAAATCAAATATTTTAAATTCCTGCTGGTGCTATAATAATCACATTGCCAACAATAAAACCTGGCATATATCTTGTTGCATGGCATTTCACATAGTCATAAAATCAGTTTATCATAACATATCATTTCATGCATCACAGTTGTCCTTCATTAGTGTGATAATACATTTTTTAGTACTGTTCCTGATTCAAATTTTCTCATAATGCTCACCAAAAGGATTTTCAACAGTTCTGTAAAAGTGTAGTTTTGAAGTTCTTTATTTCATTTCTTCTTTTGTTTCATGAATTGTCCCATTTTATCTTTTTTTTTTTTCAACGTTTTTTATTTATTTTTGGGACAGAGAGAGACAGAGCATGAACAGGGGAGGGGCAGAGAGAGAGGGAGACACAGAATCGGAAACAGGCTCCAGGCTCCGAGCCATCAGCCCAGAGCCTGACGCGGGGCTCGAACTCACAGACCGCGAGATCGTGACCTGGCTGAAGTCGGACACTTAACCGACTGCGCCACCCAGGCGCCCCATCTTTTTTTTTTTTTTTACAGGTTCGAAATTTTGTTTTAAAATTCTACATGTCTTGTACAATATTATGGTATTTAAGTGACCTGTAAATGGTTAATGTACAGTGCCTTTGCTTTTGCTGAAATAAAACCATGAATTATGATTTCTTCAATGCAGTTATAGAATTGTCCCATTTTAAATAACTGTTTTCATGATCCGAGGAAACATTGCACTTTTGCATTTTATATCAGAAAGATAGAAATCTTTGGATCATAATAATATTGATACGTCTCTTCTTTGAAAGAAACCAATTCCCTTCATGAAATTTAGGAAAAAAAATAAAATGAGAAATTTAAGTATGAAACAATTTAAGAATTTAATTGTTTTTCAGGAAAATTTCAGCTTATAATTTTGTAAGTTACAATCAACTTATAAATTTGATAATGGATAGCAAATTCTGTGTTTCTTTTCTCATTAAATTGTATTCATGCTTATTCTCATTATTACAATAGAATGATATTATCTGAACATAAAATACTTGATTAAAATATGATTAAAATATGCTTGTTTGTTGTTTAGCAATCGATGCCATTAAAGTGTAACTAATAGATTTTAATTCCATTTAGTGAGTTACAAGTTTATTTGTGTATATATAGGTATACATGTTTATATATATGTGTGTGTATATATATGTATATGTATATATATATATATATATATATATATATATATATATATATAGTACTGAAGAGGAAATGGGGCTGTAGCAATCATGTCTTCTGACAGCAACATCTTATAAATAGTGAAAACTGGTAGAATTAAGTGTTGGCCAGTGTCAGAACACTGTAGAAACAAGCCAACACTAGAATTCAGACCATCTGATTTCCGTCCTGTATCTTTCCAGATGCTATTGTTTTTCTTTAACATTTCCATTTTCAACTGTCAGATATATGAAAATGATACATATGCAAATGCATATACTATCCTCTGTCTCATGTCTGCAAAATAATGACAGCTAAGGAAAAATAACCTGTTTTCTAAAAAAACAACACTGATTACCAGACTGTTTTTGAAAGTTTAGCATTTTACAAGTCATTAAATCAAACGTATTAAAAGCTATAAAGTTTTTCATGTATTTTGCAATAGTAATAGGGCTCTAGGAAATCATATGCAAGAATTAGCTTGAAAGATAATAAGTGAAAGTACCTTGTAAAAGTCTAGTGTTATTCTAGTCTATGCAATGATAGGTTTTCCCACTTCCAATCTTGTGGCACTGGCTAATTTCTCCTGGCATTGCTTGGCAGTTAGTTAAAACAGCCTTTGAGGAAGAATTAATTCAAATCCTAACTTCATCACTTACTAGTTTTAAATCTTGGATAAATAACCTAATTGTGCGAATCATTTCCTTTTCGTGTCAATTTATCCAAGCTAATTAGATGGCTAGGTAGAATAGTTATCTTAATATTACTGAAAACAAATACAAATGTGACATTTACCAAAATCAGGGAAACTATTTTTATATAAAAATAGTTTTGACTATCATATGAGAAGAAGTCCTAAAAAGAGGACTTCTTGAAGGGGACTAGAAAACCAGTTAATTCCTGGCTGTTAGCATTCAAATCCAGGTCATAGAAGCCACTGTATTTCAGCAACTCAGAATTAGAGTGCACAGGCATTTAAAATGAAAGAGAAAGCTCATTACAATGCAGTCTTAAAATTGTTCTTATCTGGCAACATGGTTAAATGTTTTTGAAACGTTAAGAACAACATGGGATCAGAAAGGGTGCCAATCTAAGCTCTTTGTAGGCATTTTTTATATTTAACATTCACAACCTCTCATTGAAACACGATTTTTCCCTTTTACAGAAGATATTTACAAAATTAAGTCTAGAGATGTTAAGGGATTTAAGTCCTAGAAGGAACACCAGTGAAGTTTAGGAAGGACTTGACTGCAGAGCATTGGTGCTGGCTCACAGGATTGGCTAAGGCAGCACACACAGCATGGCTGTGAGAAATGTAGAGTAGCAAAAACAAGTGACAAAAAGCATAGTCTGCAAAACTCACGTTCAGTAGACAGTGATTTGCTAGGTCAGATTCAAGAGAAAGGGAATCTCTGGCAGTCATAGTATATAATCAATAGGAAACGGGGAAGAAAAAGCAATGATGGAGACAGTGACAATGAAGAGTGAAGAAATAGTAAAAATTGTACGAATGATCCGTTCTGAGAGCATAAAGGAAGAGAGCCCAAAGCCATACAAATAGACGTCTAATCTGCAGAAGAAAAGGCAGCTGGGTTGTCTCCATGACTTTTTATGACATATTCACCTTACTCCTTAACTCTGTGTGTAGGGAAGGGTTTTGAAGAAGTGAAAGAAAAGAATGACCTATGTTTTAGTACCACAAAAATTATGACCTTCATTCAGTAACGTAACCCTTTAGTAACCCAAAACTCTATTCTTAAAAACAGGAATTTGCTGACGATTGCAGGTTTTGTTATAATTTCATGTTAATTATTTATAATTTTATAATTTCATTATAGAACTAATACTAATGATTCTCTTCACAATTGAGGTACCACTTCATACCAGGTCATTTTGACTTTTATATTATGAAGATTTCCTCTGTTGAGTGCTTTATATCACTAATGATGAAACATGCAAAAACAAAACAAAAAAAACCAGTCTGTTTATATGCAATTGAGATTTTAAACTCAATAAAATGCATCAAAAGCTTAGTCCATAGCAAACCAACATCACATTCTAAAAATGGAAAATCCATGTAGATAAATATGTGCATTGGGGCGCCTGGGTGGCGCAGTCGGTTAAGCGTCCGACTTCAGCCAGGTCACGATCTCGCGGTCCGTGAGTTCGAGCCCCGCGTCGGGCTCTGGGCTGATGGCTCAGAGCCTGGAGCCTGTTTCCGATTCTGTGTCTCCCTCTCTCTCTGCCCCTCCCCCATTCATGCTCTGTCTCTCTCTGTCCCAAAAATAAATAAACGTTGAAAAAAAAAATTTTTGTTAAAAAAATATGTGCACTGATATATATAACTAAACCATCAATTTATGCCATGTGTTTTGAAAACCCAATATTTTGCTTTGAAGTTAAGTGTAGTTTTAATTTAACCAACAGAAAATATAGCCCACCTTTTAGACTTCTATCATTTATTAACACTTTACAATAGTCAAATGGGATAGTTCACTGTAAAAATAAGTGAACACTTTAGGAAAAATAAATTTAACTTTATCATGCAATTAATCCTTAAATGCCATATTTGCAATGCTTTGAGTATGGAATGATAGCTCATTATACATAGACACACAATAATACAGAAGCTATAAATATTTAGTCATGTTTTGTTAATGACTTGTAACCGACATTGTCGTTACCCAGTGCCTCATCCACTCACACATTAGTTGGAATGGGGTGTATAAACATGATGTACGTGAATGATAACCAATTATTGAAATGAAAACTTTATAATAGGTATTGATTGGAAAACTTACATATTGATAACATTTAATATTGAAATGGCCACAAAATGTTAGGTTTGGAAAGGGATAACATCATCCTAGGTTTTAATTAAAAAGTTTTAGAATGTTACCATTGAACTAATTTTTTTTAATTTTATACTTTATAGAATTACTTCAAAAAGATTTTAAACTGGAAAAAGATGTTGTGATATTAGATCAATAATCTGAGAATATAAAATCTGCCATAAAAAGCTATTTTTTCTAATTCTCCAAGGCAGCTATTTTAAAAGAAGAAAAGAAATCAAAGCATTTTTTGAAGTTTCACCAAAAATAAATTGAAGAGTCTTGGGATTTGAAGGACAGGAATGGGGAATATCATGTAACTTAGCAACAAGAAAAATACAATAGTTCTTTCAGAGTTTAAAAAATAAAGCTCAGCCAAGAGTAACATTTTATATAGAGACAAACAGGCACAGCTTTACTTTAAAAAAAGAGTGAAAATAATTCTGCTGTGTCATCAGAAGAGTCATACTTTTTTTTTCTTCTCTCTCTCTCTCCTTTTTTTTTTTTTTTTTTTTTTTTTTAGACTGCTAGAATATCTCTCACAAGAGAGATGTTTCCTGAATGAGTCTATCGTTGAACCCAGTGGAGGGCAGGGAGAGCCATCTGGCTGCAGTTTATCTTTTCTCCTAATGGAGAGCTTATTCCTTAATGTACAGGGAAATGATTCTGATGCTCCTGGCACATTGAGAAACAAACTCTAGAATTTACTCTGCCAATAGGACTTTTAGCAGATGTTACTTCATTTGTTAAGTTGACAGCTTGTTTGCTTATACCACCTCATGCAGCTGATGTTTTCACAGTGAATTTCGAGAGTTTGAGAATGGCTCCATCTGTGTGGAGTGTGACCCCCAGTGCGAGAAGATGGAAGACGGCATCCTCACATGCCATGGACCGGTAAGCTTGAAGACACCTGTGGTTGTGTTGGCTTATTTAGTTACATGTGTGAATGTTTATTATGTCATTGCTTCATCGTCTATCCATCCATTCAGCAGGTGTTTATAGCATACTAAGGGGAATCATGTTTGATATTCTGCCCTCAAGAGGCTTACAGTTTGGTAGTAGAGACAAAATATTTACAAATTAAATTTCTTAAATACTTATGTCCCATATAATGTATTTAAAAAGAGAATATGAAGATGTCCTTGAAATTGCACAGTGTTGGAAAGATGGATCTATAAGTAATTAGATTGAACCAAAATAATTGATAAAATATAAATATGTGTAAATTGTTATAGGAACAAAAATGATAGAGAGAAATTTATCTGTCTTTGGGATGGAAAGTAGGGCATCAAGGAAGCCCATAGAGAAGTGATATTTAAGCTCTACTTTGAAGAAGAAACATCTGGAAAGAGGAGGCATACAAGGAATGCAAATGTAAAAATTCATGGTGTGTTTGAGGTAAACTATAAGACAGACATTCATATTTGTGTTTAATTATTTAACTATTATGGATTTGTGAAGGACATTAAGACAGACTGAGTAGGCAAACATAAACTAAAATCTAAAACAGTGTGTTAAATACTATGGCAGAGAGAAATATTGAGCTATGAGAATGGAAGGAGGGGCTACGGGATTAGGAAAGTCTTGATGGACACACTGGCATTAAATGTTTGAAGTTAGCTTTATAGAGAAAATGGTAGTTCCTTTTTAGATCTCCCTTTGTTTCCCATCATTCAGGCTTTTTCTTAATAATGAGGCCAATATGAGTTTGTCATTCCAAAGTGTCACATTCATCCTTCTTTAGACAAATTTCCATGGTGTGTGTGTGTGTGTGTGTGTGTGTGTGTGTGTATCGAGTCATTTCTCAATAGATGATTTGGGGACCAACATTTGGGTGTAGCCAAGAGCTCAACATTGTTCCATAAGAATTTATGTGGAATTTAAATAGTACTAATTTTTCTACTAGAGTGCTTATTCAGCACTTAATAAGCTAGAAAAAAGATATCGTTGAGCCCTCCAAACTTCCATTAGGCCCCAATGAGCTGTTCTGGAACTTCATCTAAAGAAGGATGTGTAAAGCTTGGACAGTTCAGAGGACTACCATAAGGATGATTAAACTTGGAAAATCAGACCTCTGAGAAAAAGAAGTGGTGTGATTTGGCCTCAAGAACCAAAGTCTAAAAGACAATTCAATATGTAAATGATCTCCAAGTAAGTATGCAAAGGGCATATACAGCTATTTTCTTTCTCCACTGAAGATATTAGTGGAAAAGGCAATTAATCCACAGAAAGAGAAATGTGGATACTGTAAAGAATGACATGAAACATAGGGAAGTAAAATTCTGAAATGGGTTGTTAAAGCAAGTCAAGCTATCTATATACAACTTCTTTAAACACTAACATACTTAAGTACCAAAAGTCAAATAATGAAAAACAATGTATCTTTCAGAGAGACTGAGACTTCAAAAATGTGTAATTACAATAACAAGGCGACTGCAAAACCAGTCCCATGCTTTTTCTATTCCTCTTGCTGTCTCCTATGGTATAAAATTTTGCTGCTGAGTAACTAGTTTATTAATTTACTTCAATCTGTATGTTTTCACAGCTTATTTGTTCATTCTTCTGTTACTCAAAAGATTGAGACAGTTTATAAACTACACATTAAAAAAACCCTAATAGTTAATGTTTTTTTTCAATTTTCAAAATTATTTGATAACTAAGAAAGAACAAAAAAATTAAGTTTTTAATGAACACATTTTGTTTTCATATTGACAGCATTGTTGAGCCATATACTTAAAATTACCACCCAGTGTGAACATTGTCAATTAATATGTCTAGAGTTTAGGAAAGGCATTAAGTCAAAAGTAGAAAAGATTTAGTAAACCTGAATCACTTATTTGTAGAAAATTAGAGAATGGAATCAAGAAAACCTGTTTGATCACTCGATCAGTAAAACTTGAAATGCTAAGCAGGTAAGAATACAATTTAGGTTATGGTGTCGGAGAAACTGGTAGGACTGAGCTCAAACAATGACCCATCCTCCTTTCACTAGGACGTTGCTTGCTTTCAGCTTTTACAGTTTATATGAGGTTTTTGCCTGTTTCTGGGTTTATATATTGATTATCACAACTATAGACAGAAGTGTTTTGTGTGCCATGTCACAGGCATATATCATTTAGGATATCCAAGAGGTTCTCTGTGAGACTGACATTGTGATGAGATAGAGAAGTCATGAAGAAGGTTGGAATTCCAACACCTGGCCTTACCATTTCTTCTGTTGGAATCACACTTTCCTGACCTGTCCATATTTTCCTAATAATAATAATTGGTACACATTTATATTTGTCAAATACTGTTACATTTGAAGCATATGATGATCACTTTTTCCATTTAAAATATAAAGAAACTTAATCTATAATAATTAAAAAGTTATACCAAAGATTCAACAATCTATAAGATGTGGAGCTGGGACTCAACTGTTGAAGTTCTGCCTCCAAATTTTACACTCTATTCATTTCACTCCCCACCCCACCCCTGCAAAAATTCTGTAATATAATAAGGATAGTATGTTTTCTGAGAATATAACAGCTACATGTCAAATGGGATAGTATTACACTATTTAAATGTGGCAGAAATCCAGGATAATCTTGAAAGGGCTAGCTTTGAAATAAAGCAAGCCCCTGTTTTTATAGCCTTGTGTGTCTGCATGTGTTTTTTACATTTTATTATTTATTTAGCATTTTCATCCATTCTGTCTCACTTTTACTACCCTTGTTTGGTCCTGTCAGGAAAGATAAGGAAGGGCATGTGAGAAGAAAGAGAAGTAAGGGACATCAGAGGAGTTGTAGGAGATCAAAATATAAGCCAAAGAGGAGAGATAGGGGAAGAAAATGATAAAAGCTAAAGTAGTTGTTAAAGTCAAGTTCATAAAGGTGTGCTGCCATAACAAATAACCCCCATATTAGAGTAGCTTGTAGGAAAATGTTTAAATATTTTTCATGTAAAGTGCACTGCAATCAGCTCTCCTCCCTGAGATGGCCTAGCATTCTGAGATCCTTTGAATTATGGCATCTCCACATTCGCATGGGATCCCCACATCATGGCGGCAGGCAAAGAGAAGGCTGGAGAGTTGAGCCCTGACAGTCTCATAAATCGTTTCTACTTAATTTCATGGTCCAGAAGAAAACATACCTCACCTCTGGTGGGAGGGGAATTCCAGTCTTCCATGTGGCTAGGACTGGAAGAGAAATGGATACTGGTGAATATTAGCATTGTCTCTTAGCAGTAGTTACCAGAGAAAATCATCAATTGTTACTGAGAAAAAAAAACAATATTTCTATCAGGATTTAGCTTATTCTTTAGTTTTCTGCCTAGATAATTGAATCTAAGGATAGCTTAAAATCAGAGACAAGGAACAATATTGCTTTCACCTCTGTTTTTTATCATTGCATTTATCAACTCATTCACTGAACTTAGGTTCTTAAAAGCTTTGGGAATATAATGATAGAAGAGTAAGCATTAGACACGCGTATTTCTTTAAATCTTTTTTATGGAAATGAGTTGGAGAACTAGTATATTTCATTTCTTTTGAGATTTGTCGGGATTTTTTTTAGTTATGTCAGCTTAGAACATTAGGTTTTGTATCATCACACAATCAAATAGGTGAGAGGGGCTTAAAAAACAAAGAAATACACAAAAAATCTGTTAGAAGGACAGTTAAACATTAAATATGATTTTCATTTTAGTTTCATAATTTTTTGTGTCTTCTGATTTTACCTGGACATTATTTTACATTAGAAGAATTTTATAGGAAAATAATTCCTAATTTCTAATTTTCACCATGCCTAATTTACTCATGGTTAGTTTTATTCTTCTGTTCTGCAGGAAGACATCAGCCTGTCTCTTGTCTTGTACAATAAGTCATGCCACTGAGCATACTTGCACAGTAAATGATTTTGTATAATAGATGGCATTACGTGCCTAAGTACCCATGAGCAGGTGTTAAAATTGGAGACATGTGAAATATTCTTTTTTGGTAGGAAATAAGAAGTTGCCAATAGCAAACTCTTCAGGTTGAATAGGGATTAGGTTTCATAGGATAATTTTCTTTTAGTTCTAAATCTCACATCAAAATAGCGAAATAGTGCTTGATTGAACCTCACCAGTCCCAGAATTTCCAGAAACCTCTTCCTGATTATTTTTTCTTCTTTACACCACTGTTCTTCATTAGCAGCCTCAATCTTTAAATTTTACAATGTTATATTTATTGATTTCCTGATGTCTTATATCTCCAACTTGTTATGTCTGGCCACTTTTGGATTAACATTTGTAGAAGGATGTAATACACTCCTGTGAATGGACACTCCCTGCCTAATACATAGTTCTGTACAATGTCTGCTTGTTGTTGGCCCCCAGATTCACCATGTTAATTCTAAGCCTAATAAAACTGATTATCTCCCTCTATACTTACTATATCTCATTTATCTAAATTGTGTTTAATGTGAACTGTCATAATTGTTGGAACAATGTGGACAGACAGATTTTGGGAAGAGATGGGTCAGGGGAAGAAGTTCCAGAGAGAGGTCAAAGAAAAGAGGAACCTAAGACAATATGATGTTCAAAAGGGAAGGCCAAAAGTCAACTTTTTAAGTAGGTAATATCACTATTCAAAATAGTTAAATGTGTAAATATATTGGCATCTCTTAAGAAAATAGCATTTTAAGAAAATGGTTATCTATTTATATTGAGAGAGAGAGAGAGAGAGAGAGAGAGAGAGAGAGAGAGAGAATCCCAAGCAGGCTCCACACATCAGTGCAGAACCTGACATGAGGCTTGAACCTACAAACTGGGAGATCATGACCTGAGCCAAAACCAAGAGTAGGACTCTTCACCAATTGAACCATTCAGGCGCCCCAGAAAATAGCATTTTTAATAAAAATATTCTCAATTTTCTTTGATTTGGTGGTAGACGGCTTATCATTTTGCATGCTTACTATCCCTAGCACCAAATTGAAACCAGTTTTTTCTTGTAAAATTATTTTCTTTAATATGAGTTTTAAATTTTTACTTTTTGATATTTAAATATATTTGCATGCTATTATTGCTTAGTAACATTCTACATATTAGAAAATGGTTATATATTATCAACATAAATATATGAAGTGAATTAGTGCCGTTAAAATTTATTTTGCTCATATTTATATCACCTTTACTATTGGATAAATTTTGCATGCATCTATTTCACTATTATGGGACTTTTGATATTTGCTTATCAGAGTGTGCCTTTATTGTGCTCTCAGTACTGTACTGTTATTTACTAAAATCTCTATAGACGTGTGAGTTTTAACTTTATCACAAGCTGATTTAAGATGGAGTGTAACGTAGAAATTAATTTTTATTTGCCTAACCTGACTAATTCCTAATAATTCAACCATAGTAAATTTTAAAATCCATTGCTCAAATAGTCATAGTATAATCAAAGGAAAGTTTACATCTCGTTTTTACATTGAAAAGCTGCCATAGTGACATCCCCACTTGTAGTTCTGAAAATGCTCTTCCGTTCCCTAGTGCAAGATTGACTACTCACTGAAGTCTCAAGGACTAATCCACATGAATACCAGAGGAAACCGCACCCATTTTTCTTTCTCCATTGTGTTTTGTTTTTCACAATTCAGGGACCTGATAACTGCACAAAGTGTTCCCATTTTAAGGATGGCCCGAACTGTGTGGAAAAATGTCCAGATGGCTTGCAGGGGGCAAACAGTTTCATTTTCAAGTATGCTGATCAGGATCGAGAGTGCCATCCATGCCATCCAAACTGCACCCAAGGGTAAGCATCCTTGCCAGCCAAGGACTCCATCACACAGGTTATCTTTACCCCTGACACCATCTACTAACTATATAACATGTTCATGTAAAACTCGATTCATCTTTATATTAATATGTTGATTTGAAGAGGAATACTTTCTAAGAAAACAATTTATGTAATCAAATGTACACTCTCTGAAATATTCTGTTAAATATTTACCTAAAAGTATTCTATCGACACCTTTATGAAGCTGGTGGGAGGTGTACTTGTAGGGAGTCTAGAAATTCTTCTAAATTTTACTTGGTATTGAAGATATTTTAATTTTTTTTCAACGTTTATTTATTTTTGGGACAGAGAGAGAGCATGAATGGGGGAGGGGCAGAGAGAGAGGGAGACACAGAATCGGAAACAGGCTCCAGGCCCCGAGCCATCAGCCCAGAGCCTGACGTGGGGCTCGAACTCACGGACCGCGAGATCGTGACCTGGCTGAAGTCGGACACTTAACGGACTGCGCCACCCAGGCGCCCCGAGATATTTTATAAGAGACAAGATAGCCGTCATACTTGGAGATGTGTGCTTAATCAATCTTTAACAGAAGTTTTCTGATTATGTTTCTTTGTTCTTACAACCAGCTTAAGTTGAGGATAGCTCTCTTTGATAGATATTGCCTTGGATTACTCCTTCAACAAAATATAAGCAAAATAACAACAGAAAAAAAGGTGGGGGGAGAACTTAGTGATATGTATATTAGTAAAATCACAAATACATTTTGTGAAAGTAATTTTAATACAGGTCAACCTATAATCTAGAACTTTTTTGACTACTATAGGACTACTCAAAGATGGGTACCCAGTTTTCTATCTTTTTTTCCAAAAGGATGCATTATAAAATGAATAATAATTATATTACCTTTGATATTGAAACAGTTGTAAAACAAAGACATATTACAGAAAGAAGAAAAGCACTGAACTGAAAGAAATAATGCCACTCATGTAACAAATCCCAGAACCTATTTTTTAAAAGATAGCAAATATATTTTAATAAGGGCTTTTCTTTTTCTTTCCTCCAGAAGATGACTAATTTCAGACTTGAGAACAATTTAATATACTCTATCCTCCTTCTGTCCATAAATCCTCTTCTTCATTATGAGTGCCCACACACAAGCACACACACACACACACACACACACACACACACACGTGCAAATACATACACTTGTTTTTGAGAATTATCTCGGGTACTTTATATCTGGCAGGAGAGTATGAGATTCTATAAAGAATGTTTTCTGCCACATTAAGAGCTAGTTGCTAGGGGATATTGAAGAAGTTAAGCAAGCAACAACATCATTTTCTGCCAAGAGGACATCAATTTGCAGATGCTGCTACAATTTCCTGCAGGTCAAGAAATCAGCTTAAGTCACTCTGTGAAGTGGTAGATCCTCAAAAGGTAAAGTAATATTCTGCCATTCAAATTTAAATTCAGCTTAGAAGAGCTAACGCCATCTCATTGGTTTACACATAAGGACATAGACTGAAGATACTGAAATAGTCACACGGACACCTAGCTTCAAGGAAACTACAAGGAATCAATTTCTCCCCTTGCGAGGTTTTGGCACACTTGGGTTAAGAGTAATTCATGAAGAAACAACTGGTGCCACTGGAGCAGAAGAGTCAGCAACAGAAAGGGAAAACTTTGCCTGCTAAAGTAATCATCCACAGGAGGGTTTTATTGTTTTGCAGCTAAAATTAAACCAGTAAATTATTCAATATAATGTTGATGTCAACAGCTGTTGCCATTCAAAATGAGACCTTTTGCTATTTTTGCAAATCTAATTACAATGAAGCCATTAGGGAAATGAAAGTGAGATCGCAGAGCCCTAGTCTGGATGTGTGGCTGGTGTGTCTTCCTCTCAGCCCTTTTAAATCATGATTATGTAATAAAAGAACACATCTATAGTGGGGGAAGAAGTAGAGACAATGAAGAGATCCATTTCCCACAGCAACAAAAGCCAGATGTCAGCGAAAAGGGAGGATGAAGGTATAAATGTATCAAATCTGACCAGGCCATTTAGGAACTCCAAGTAAATAGAAAAACGTCTTTAAATCAACTGTTGCAGAATGATGGGGAGACAGAATTGGATGTTGTATTCCCTGGCATCTTCCAAGGCAAATGGATTGTAAGGAATGATTTAGTCCTGAAGGATTTGTGTGTTTGTTTTCATTTAGCTTCCTGCCATCCTTTTCCCAATATCCTCCATATTGTCCAGGTTCACTCACTTCATGAGAGTTTTGTCATCCCAATCCCAGAACTCCTAAATTCCTAAATTCCTAAAACCTATTCTATATTACTGTTGTGTAGCACTGTGCTCTGAGATTCTTGAGTGAAGCCATGAGGTGCTCTGTCCACTTAGTCCCTTCTTTTCAAATTGCATGTAGAAGTAGGATCTTTCTCTAGAAAGATCACAGGGCCAGTGGAGATGACGTGACGAGTGACTATTTTTATTCCTAAATACATGTAATAATTGACCTGTCTGTGCGTGTGAGCTCACCATGCCAACCCCACTTTGGAAAACCGCTTTCCTTTTATATGCTGATATTATGTCAGCTAGATAATTCAAGAACCAAGTTACTGGAAATAGTCTTTTGAATCACATTTTTTAGAAGGAAAGTTCTTACTTTGAATACTGTTCAATGATTTTCTGAAAATAAAATTATGTGTGTAATACCTTAAAAGCACTTTTATTACTCTGGAAGTACATTAAATATATTGGCTCTAATAAGTTCTTTAGATACTTTTAAAATAGGTTATCCATTTAGCACGTATCAGGAGATTCTCATTAATATCCCTAGAGGGGTGGGGAATAACATTGTCTCTTCTTGCCTTGACTAGAGAACTTTTATTTTAGCAGGCTTTTCTCGTTTGATTCATCCCTCAACTTGGTTATACTGAACACCAACTGCACATCAGAGATAGTGATAGCTAAATTCAGAAATGAGTAAGATCCCCATATTTTGAAATGATGAGCAAGAATTTAAAACTTAGGAATGATCTTCATATTTGAAAATAGCAGGATAGAATTAAAAAAAAAGACTTGTAAACTAAATTTAGTATGTAATTAAATTCCTGTAAGGGGATTTTTTTTTGTGGTTTCCACACTAAAATCTAATCCATGACAAATATCAATGCAGTTTTTAGTCATGGACTAGAATATTTGTTTTTCATAGGCATCTTTGAAAATTTGCATTGAATATTTTTGTTAATTGTAGAATCATGGTTTCCATATTATTAAATTCCCTGTATGCATTTATCTTTTTTTATCAACTCTTTTTATATATTTTTTAAATTTCTATTGTGAAAGAATTTTCATTTATAAAAGGAAAGAAGAGCTGTTTGTGAAATTATTGTCTATACTCTTTTAATTGAAATTTTAAAATACTCCACTTTCATTTCAAAATTTGAAGATCTTGTCAAAATATCTCAACTAAGGTAGGTGGGTATATCAAAGTGCTTACAAATCAGTAAATAGTGGCAAATGTTAAACACAACTCAGTGTTCAGAATTGCAGATACTTTTGTAATATGTTATATTGACATGTTATAGTTTCTGATCTTCCTTTAAATTTTTTACTTTGTTACACTAATTTTGTAGAGTTACGTTATTCCTTATCTGATTTTGATCTCATATTTGAGATTTTGACTCTTCAAAAGTTTAATGCTTCCATTATTCTGTGATCTTGCTGAATCAATATAAATTACATGTGCTAATTAGTTGCTTATATGAAGTCCAAAGGGTTGAAATAGAGTATACATCTTTAAATACACAGTGACTTGTACTTAGAAAGGATGGTGCTGCTTTAGTCACACTTTTATTATTTGTCTTTCATTGTTTCTTTCATCTTTAGCTTTTAAATATGTCTACATCTCAAATATTCCTCAAGAGTTCCCTCAACAAATTTTCCTGACCCCACATCCTGCCCCCTCAGTGCTCACCTTCCTTTTCCCTTGCTTTGCTTATGTCCAATATGCTTCTCAACTCACAGTGGTTGAAATTCTGGTGACCTTGGGGCGCCTGGGTGGCGCAGTCGGTTGAGCGTCCGACTTCAGCCAGGTCACGATCTCGCGGTGCGTGAGTTCGAGCCCCGCGTCAGGCTCTGGGCTGATGGCTCAGAGCCTGGAGCCTGTTTCCGATTCTGTGTCTCCCTCTCTCTCTGCCCCTCCCCCATTCATGCTCTGTCTCTCTCTGTCCCAAAAATAAATAAATGTTGAAAAAAAAAATTTAATAAAAAAAAAAAAAAAAGAAATTCTGGTGACCTTGACAATGACAACTAAAATGCTCTCAGTAGTCCTTATTTTATTAGACCTCTCTTTGCATTTGATTTTGACAGTTACTCCTGAATGTCTCTCCTGATTTGGCTCCCACAATGATGCTGTAATTACTTGATTTTACTCCATATTTTCTCATGCTTCTGGCATATAAGCTTATCTTAGGCCATTTACTGGTTATCGGAGTTCTTTGAGTTTCAGTCTCAGTCTCCTCTTTTCTCACTTTATAGATCCTTCTTCAGCTATCTTACCCACTTACATGATTTCAGCTTTCTTCTGTATGCTGTTTCAAAACTGATCATCACACTGGTGCCTTCACACCCTACAACCACAGGCCTCTCTTTCCAGCTGGCGAGGAACATTCCCTACCCAGATGTAGGACAACCACACTGGATGCATACTGTAGATCTATAAAGCTGAAATTATCAACCCTTCCTCCCCCAACACACACACAAGAAAAGGTGTCCCTCCTCCTGCATTCCCTCACTGATGGTACTGCATGTTTGACTCCTCTGATCCTACTTTTCTTTCGTCAAATCAGCCATCAACTTCTCTTCCCCACCCCACCCACCATACCTTTGAAGGCATTTCTTGAATCTGGCCCCCTGCCTCTATCCTAGTTGCCATTTCCCCGGTGTAATCCTTTTTCATCTTTTACATACACTAAAAGAATCTTGGTGCCAAAGGAATCTACCTGGATCCCAGCTGACTAGCCTTCACAGGGCAGAGATCCATGTAAAATACAAATCTAGCAAATCCACTACTTCAAAACCCTGCAGTGGTTCTCCATTAAGTTTGCCCCTAAGCAAATAGCCTTCAAATTCTGGCTCATGTCTAAATGATCTCGCTTCTTTTCCCTCTTCCTGTCACCTCATGTTTTGTTTGCTCCCTGACTATTCAGAATTATTTGCAGTTTTTCATGTGCAATCTAAATTTCCTCAGATCTATGCTTTTGTTCCTGCTGTTTGTTACCCCTTAGAAATGACTGCTACTCCAACCCAGGTTCTCAGCACCCTGCATTTCAGCTTCCTAACTTCTCCATGAGGATTAACATGAATTTCTAAAGCTAAGTGTCCCTCCTCTATGCTCCCTTAAGCCACTCTTTCATGTCTCTTTTTATATTTATCACCTTAAACAATATACATCTGGTTATGCATCTATCTCCTATTATGCATTAAATTGTGAGCTCATTAAGAATAGGAAAAGTGTCTAATTCATCATCCCCCCCCCACTGCCCAGCTCCTAGAAGAGTAGCAACACTTAGTAGGCCTACAAGCATGTTTTTTTAATGGATGAATAAAGATCTTTCATTATTCACACTTTACCCTCAAGTTGAATTTCACTTTCAAATATTTTTATATTTCAAATGTTATTGTAAAGACACAGATTGCAAATTAATCATAGCTTTCAGATTCTCACTTGAAAATAAGAAGTAGACTATTAATTTTACCAAATGGTAATACTGTATAAAAAAGCACTTGGAAGAAGATATAATAGGAACCTAGGAAAAAAATAAGTTCTTCAGAATAAAATAAAAAGAATATCATATAAGACAGTTTGAAAACATTTTTAGTAGTTACTTTTTCCATTTCAAGAAATGGTTTTGGTTATGGATTATAGTACCAATTCAATGCTATGTGCTATATATTTTTATTTGTATTTCTTGCTTTTTTAAAAGACTTTTCACAGTGTATTCCCCATTTTTCTGTACATAAAATTTTTTCTGGGTTATTCAAAACCAATGCTCAAAATGAAAACAATTTTCCACCTAGTCGAAATGTTATAGCAGATATTCATGAAGCAGGGAAATATTGACTTAATTATTATTATACATAGTTACATTAGTTTACCAATGTTGAGAGTTATCTAAGGATATAGTAGACAGTCTGGCCTTATACACGAGTCCCTTATTACTTCATTATATGGTGATTTTAACTTCAGCTTCCTTTTCAGTTTCAGAAATTAGAGTTTGGAAAAAGCATTTGTGATCAGCAGAATTAGACAGTCCTATAAATCATAGCTGTGGAGGGAATCTTGATAATGCACCGTAGATATATGTATTTGATGAGAGAAAAGGGAAGGAAATACAATTTGTACATTGGAAGATGGAAGAAGTAATATTTCCATAATACCTCAAAATGAAATTCTAGGGACCGTACATCCGGATTTTGTGTACTTATATAATTCCAGTGAATTCTTTAGTTACCTGCTTCTCAGTTTGTGCATTTCCTTGCAGAGTATTTATTTATTATTGTTTGAGTTAAATATTATGGCACTTTAAAAACCTATTGTTTGTCTGTTATGGCACTGTGCTTTTAAAATAGAGCGTCAAGATAAACTGCAGTCTTGGTAAAACCAGTTAATTTGCTTTTTAAATGAATTCATGTTTAAAGATAAGTATGTTTTAAAAACCGTCACAACCAAGGAATGGAATAATGTGATTATGTAAAGTATCCATAAGAATAGCATTAAAGCATGTTAACTCATTTTCTGCCATAATCCATCTTTAATGAGTATTAAGCATCAGGTTATTATATTATATTGAGTAGCTCATGTTTAATTTTTTATTGACTTTAGTTTTTACTTAAACTTAAGTGCTTTTAGAAGAAACTGTATACATGAAACCATTTATAACCATTGAAATATCAAGTCATTCAGCAAGACATGTACTCATGATGCAAATGAATTGAGTATTGGAAGTGAGTTATATGTGTTTAGAAGTTATCCACAGAAACAGGGTACAGTTTCCTTTACTGTGGACATGTTTCTTTGCATTCCATGCGGGTGGTATTTGCAACCTATTTCTTTGTATCCATCAGGCAATAATCTTCTCACTGGCTTTAAATTCACAGTGTTCCAAAATTGTCTAATAACCGTAATTATGAATTTGACACAATTAGTGTTTATCTGACTGATTTTTTTTAAATGACTAATTTTTCTTTCCTTGTATTTTTTAAATTTGGATCTTCTGCAGGTGCATAGGCTCACGTATTGAAGACTGCATCGGCCTGATGGATAGGTACTTGGTGTGCTTGCTTCCCATGTTTTTCCTCCAAGGCTCCGTGTGTGAGCACTGGTGCATGTGTGCGCATGCCGCTGTGAATGGAGAATGATGTTTTCTGTTCTGTAATTGCCTGCAGGTGTAGCGGCCCCACTAGTCATGACTGCATTTACTATCCTTGGACGGGCCATTCCACTTTACCACAACATGCTAGGTAACATCTACCATGTTTCCATTTTGTCACTCAAATCCTTTTCAAATTATCATGTTTACAAACTACTAACCAGTTGGGTGAAATTGATAATATGTTAAATTAGGGAGTTATGAAATAGGCATATAACACTACTTTTCAAACCACATCCCTTACCTCTTTTTTCTTTACTGATTATGATTTTAGCATCCAAATTAGTAGTGTCATTGGTTTTCAATTTTGTACAATTTAAACAGGATTTCAAATTATTAACCTAGAACTTGAAGAGAATTTTTAAAATTAATTTTGTAGATTATTGCAAAACTAAACATTTTTAAGAGAGGAATTTATAAAAGTTGATCTATTTTCGTAAGGTGTTTCTTGTTTAATTTGATTCCTTTTCTGATCTTATATTGTATTGAGCCTGTTGGTATAGTATTCTGTAGGCTTCTGAATTACCATAGACTAAAAGCACTATAGAAAATATTTTGTGCAGGTAAAAGTACAAGTTGAAATGAAAACAAAACAAAACAAAACAAAATATATCACTCAGATTCATACAAAAACCCATGCATGAAGGTTTATAGTGGCTTTACTCAAAATCACCCAAAACTGGAAACTACTCAAATGTTCTTCATTTGTGATATATCCATACATTGCAGTGCTACTCAGCAATAGAAATGAACAAACTATTGATACATGCAAAACACAGATGGATCTCAAGTGCATTTTGCTAAATGAAAGAAGCTATACTTAAAAAGAATACATACCAGATGATTCAATTTATGTGGTATTAATTCTGGAAGAGGCAAAACTGTAGGGACAGAAAATTGATCAGTGTTGCTTGTGGTAGTGTTGCCAGGTAAGCCTGGCAAGGGACATGAGGGAATTTTGGAGGAGGGTGATGGAACCGTTCTCTCTCTTGACAGTGGTGATGGGTACACGAATGTATGTGCTTGTCAAATATCATGGTTAAGCACATTAAAAATGAATTTTACTGTCTATAAATTAGACTTCAATAAATTAGACTTAAACATTTCATTTTAGGAACATAGTAATTTACAATGTTACGTAGAAGTACTGTTTGCTTTCTTTATGAAACAAGTTAATTGTATCTTCTGGAAGTGAGAAAGTAGTGCTAAATTACAATAAGCAAGATGACAGTTTGAGATGAAATATTGCCTTTTAATGTACATTTTTAAATTCAAATTTAACATAAAATTTAACAGTATAAAAGTATACAAAACATAGGTGTAAAACTCAGTGAATTTCTTATAATGAAACGTTTATATAACCATCAGCCAGATCAAGAAACAGAATAGTAGTAGAAACAGAAACACCCTTGTGCTCCACTCCAAGGGAACCATTGTCCTGAGTGCTAACAGGAGTTTGCCTGTTTTTGCACTTTATATAAATTGGATCATATACATGTATTCTTTGTCCCTGGCCTCTTTTGCTCAATATTATATTTATGAGGTCCATCTATGTCATTACATTTAGTCATAATTTTTCATTTGTATGATATTTGCCTTTTAAAAGTTTTTGGAAAATATCAAGTAAGTGTTATCTCTTATTAAAAGGTTATTTAATTCTATTAAAAATAAATTCTTTTTTTTAAAAAGGGTGCAGTAGAAGTCAATGATTTATACAACAGTGGCACTTTGACACTTGGGATCAATTCAGACTAGTTAATACAGTTCTTTAGAGCAAAGTTTAAAGTATGGAAAAAATCAGCAAGAGAGAGAGAAAGAGAAAGTGCATGTCTTAAGGCCCAAAGCTCAGTTTTATAAGCCAAGACCCATTTTATATTGTTTCTATATTTATGAAATAATTTTCCTCCTTGAGACTTTGGTTGAGTCACTGCACTATCATTATGAAGAGTGTTTTCACATCGTTTTAATGACTTTCTTATACTTATTCCAGCCAACTAATGAGAGGCAATATAATGTGGTGACTAAGTGTGCTGTCTTTGGAATCAGATTTTCTAGGTTCAGAGCAAGGCTCTATCATTTTTTAGATATGTAACCTTGGGTAAGTTCCTTAATTATCTGAGCCTTACTTTCTTCATGTATAAAATAGGAATGTTAATATAGTTTACAAATTGGTTGTGAGCATTGATGGAGTCCATAGAATATGCCTAGCTCAAATATCACCCAGTAAATGTTGTTATTTATTATTTTGCTATATATCAAATGATTTTAAATGTTGGACATGGGGGAACATAACTCCTAGGGGGAGTAGGAAAATCTCTCAAAGTCACCCAGGAAAGTTTGACTTATACCTCTACTCCTTCTGGTGGGTCACTTGGCGGAAGGGAGGGCATTTATTTCTTCACCTCAGAAATCACTGTTTTAAGAGGTCCACTGGTATCTTTGGCAGTAGGTCACAGGCAGAGGCATATGAAGAGACAGAGAAAGAGTTAAAACCATAGTGGTAGATCCCTAGTGGTTTTCAATTCTGGTAATTAAGGTTGTATAACTCAAAATCATAGTGTATCTTACTATAGATTTAATATTTCCAACATGTTTTGGGAATTTTCAATCCTATTACTTGCCTGGGCTCTCAGGCCATTTCCTGTATTCTCAGACTAATACCTAATTCAGATTAGCTTTGTCATAAGTAGGTAGGTGACCATGTCCAGTAATAGAGTACAATTCAGCACAATTCAGCCCATGATTCCTATGAAAAATCATCTGTAGGCCTTTGTACAAGTAAAGAGCAGAAGTTTTTGAATGTGAAAGCCTGGGTTCAAGTATTTGCTCTGCCATGTTTCTTGTCTGTAAAATGGGATGATAATTTGATAATTTTTAAAATGGAAATTCTTATACCTCATAATATTGGTATGATGATTAAATGGTTAGGAGATATTATCAAGTATATATATTCATTGGTGGTAGTTACATCTCTAGTTGAAATATTGGAAAAAAATCTTTTTTAAAAATCTCATGAGGTTATGTTCTACTAGCATATATATATACTATCAGCAGGGCACAAATATTTATGTATCAGCAGGGCATAAATCCAATAGTTTATTGACTACAAAACTGGTATATCAGAATTTCTAAGCTTTTAAGCATCTAAATTGTGCATCCTACTTCTAAGCATGATGACTTAAAAAAATTGGTAGTAGGGAGCTAAGTATTCCTTTTAGAAACTCTGGATATATTTAATTAATATTTCTTTCAAACTTAAATTTAAAGCAGTATGACTCTTCAGTTGTGTTGACTTGTCAGAATTAATGGACTTGTCATAGGCTGCTTATAAGCAGTTTGGAATTTACAAGAAAGATTTAGCTTGGACACCTTGAAAAGTGTTTATGACCATGGAACATTTTGACATGGATTGGATGAGAAGTGAAAGTAATAAATCTTACCTTTTTTTCAGGTAAATGCTTTTTTCAGTAAATGTTTACCTCTCTGAAATGTGGTGGGTACACAGTTAATTGAAAGCAGGGGACTAGCTTAGTAATATTTCAGTTTATTTTCCATTTTTAAATTCTGTGAATGTTTTTCTTATGCCTCAGTCTTAATTGATTAAAGTAAATCTTACATAATAGGGAGATAAAAAAAAAAAACATGGTAGAAAGTAATTGCTTTCAGTTTTGTAAACTATGTTTTAACTGGGAGATTACCCAAATGCCTAGTTTTCTTTTAGTCTCACAAAATTGCACTGAACATGGCAATGTGGCCATTTCGAAATATTTAGGATTCATACTCCCTACTGCCCCATTATGTTGTATTCTGTTTCCTAAACCAGAAGGAAAAAAGATTGAAGATTTAAATGAAAACAGGTGAAATGCTTCCAATCTTGATCGACTTTCATTTTCTAAGCAGTGTTACTCTTTCCCAAGCCTGCAATTTGTGAATTGGTTTTCCACACTCCATTTACCTTACAGGCTGTTGCTGGAATTTCTTCCAGGAAGATAGGATAGGATGGAAAAGATCGTTGCTGTTGTTGTTGATTTTCTTTTACCTGTAATCTCCTAGAATATTCTACTTGTAATGAAAATAATAATTGAATTTCAGGCCTTTTCCATATTTTCCTTATCTGAATTCAATGCCTTACAACTAACGTTTACTTGGATGTTCTTCTTTTTCTTATAAAGAATCTTATGAAAAAATGTGTTCAGCAAGTTTTTTTTATTATTCATTTTTATGCTATTTATTTGAGCTTGCACATATGCTGTTTTCATATAGATTGTAATAGAACAAAGCATTTAGTTCTATTCTATTTTAGTTTCTTTGCCAACCATATATCCCAAGCTTTTTATAATCTTAGTCTCTCACTCCATCAGGGCCAACATGTGTTCATCTAAACAAGCAAAGGCTCTATTGGCAAAGCATATCTTTTTATTAGTTAGAAGCCCAAAATATAAACTAATAATTCTTTTTGAATTTGTGACAGGAATTGTGAGAAGTACTAGATTCCTGTTCAAAATTTTTTATCTGGCTATCTGCTCCAATTCAGTTATTCTAGACACTTCACAATATGAAGTAAGGTAACTGAAATCAGTTTAATTCTCTAAATCTCATCTGGGCAGATATTTGAAACGTTTTATATTCCTGTCACATTTTAATGCCTGTATCACACTTTTACTTTCTGGTGTGGTGGTTATTACCTAAGAGGTCACATAACAGTTTATTCTTTAGCAGTGTGACCCGTGTGTGATAGATGAGGGAGAAGATGTGATATTCTTGGCACCGCCTTCACAAATGGCACAATCTTTTTTCTTTGTTTGTTTGCCCTCAAGGAACTTGGTTCATAACTTATGTCTGTATCAAATGGTCAAAATAGCCCATAGATGGTTTCCTCAGATGAGTGGCAGTTATGTTATGATCCTTAAGTCCAATAAATAAAAGTACACAGGCTTTTTATTATAAGTCTATCCTCAGTCCACCACATTCTGTATATTAAATTTACTTTTGAATTTAAGAGAGTTCAAAGAGGTGAAGGAGAGTGTGTGAATTTCTTCTTTTCCAGCTGATTTGTGTCCCACAGTTTCCAGTACATATAAAATACCAAAA